TTACTGCGTCTTTTAAAAAAAAAAAAAAAAAAAGCTGATCCAAAATCAATGAATGTAAGCTCATTGGATTCGTCTAGTCGCGGGGAATCGAATGGTAGTTGTTTCATACGAATCGGTGCGATATTGACCAAGATCGTACGTCTTTTGGTTTTTTTTTTCTATATATAAAAATCATGTGATATGACATCATTTCGACCATTTCAACTTTTCACCTCCAATGGTCGAAATTATTTCGACCATTTTGACCATTTCGGATATCCAAAATTATCTATTTCAACTTCATGTATAGTTGTGACTGACTTTTGGGCGGCATTTTATTATTAAAAATTAAATTTTTTAATAATAAATGCTGTATCTGACTTTTGAGTAGCATTTTATTATTAAAAACTAAATTTTGTTAATAATAAATGTCACGTTCAACTGTCGGGTGGCATTTTATTATTAAAAATTAAATTTTTTAATAATAAATGTCACGTCTGACTTCAGGGTAGCATTTTTTATTTCAAATCTAACAAATCGGATCTGAATCCAAATCCAAATCTGACAGATCAAATCCAAATCCAAATCCAAATCCAAATCTGTTGGATTGAATCAGATTTTTGTAGAACACTAATTAGATCTATTAAAATTGTTATTTTATGAAGAATAATATGGTTCAGGTTTAAATCGATTGTACAGTGGTCTATATAGGTTCGATGGTTTACGATTTGTACATTCTTTAAATTTATGACTTGAAACGCTATAACTTTGATAAATTTATTAGAAGTTCTATCTAATAAAAAGTCCTTCCTTTGAATTTTTGTGATTGCGTAACTGCAGTATTCAGGTCATCAAAAGTTGCAAAATTAATGAATGCATATATCTTAGTCTATTTGTTAATCACATGTGATGAAACATAATCTAGCTTTGATATGAGAGAGAAAATCATATAATTAGTTAGTCTGTATTGAATGGAAGACCTATAAGTTTTAATTCAAATTGTTAACGCAGTACAGTTTGTATTAGATTGAGATTTGTTAGTTCAACTCTGAGGGCTAAATCAAGGAATTAAATAGACCAAAGTTCTCCATAAAAAGCTTTGATAGTATCAGCATTTTCAAAAATAATGAACGCGATTTGCTATAAGTCCTGAACAATCACTAAAAATCTGATAATCATTCTATATCTGAAAAAAAATTTTCATAATATATCAGATTTTACAAAAAGGGGAATGTCTAACACTTTAAGGATCTTTTCATTTTCAACGTCTTATTTGATCTTCTTTGCTGCAAGATCAATAATGGTAAAAATCAGATTATGTTGTGACTTCTGAACTTTTGTGATAGTATGAATTAATTCTTCTATTGATCAAAAATAGGCTAAGAATTTTCTAAATTTGGAAACATAAGTAGAGCCTTGATATTCATTGAAGTGAACAAAAAGTGAATTGATAAATATGCATTTTTTGGCAATGGTATTTTCTTTTATATCTAACGCGTTATCAATTGCGTAAAAATTTGTAAAAGCAGTGATAACATTGTAAATATTCCCTTGATTTTCTTGGTCATGTGTTTCTTCATTTTGTTCGATTTCTTCAGACCAAGTTTGTTTGTTTTTTCTTTTATTATTAATAGGAAGAATAATGTCAAAACTAGTATCAATGAATATGTTATCGTAATTGTTGTGAGCATGTATAGATTCATTTATAGTTTGTTTTAGGATATTTATTTGTAAAGGAGTAATATCAGAAGTAGTATCTACTTCTATTTTTAAAGATACTTCAGCTGGAAAAACATTGTTGTCAGTTATTTGGTTTGAAAAAGGAACATTGTTGATGTTTGAAGTGTCATTCATAATAATATTTTCAATTTCTGGGTCTGAAATATCTTTGTTTAAGGGTTTTGATGTTTTTCTTTTTTTTTGGAGAAAAGAAATTTTCATTATGTTTTGCAGTTTTTGAAGAGAAACTGGGAATGGTAGAGTCAGTAACTGAGGTACTACGTTTGTTTTATTAGTAATTTTTATTATTTTGTTATTTGGAAGAAATTGCTTAAGTAACTGGTATAATTTTATTTTTTTTTGTCGATCTTTTTTAATAAACTGAACGTTTGAGAAAAAGTGTTTTTTTTTGATTTTGAATTAACCTATCTTGAAATATTTGCGATCGAATTTTGAAATCTGAACTCCTTTATTTAAAGTAAAATTTAATGATTTATAATTTCAGCTGATAATACAATTATGATTATCTCGCGATTGGATGATCCTAAATCAATAAATATTAGCTCATTGGATTCGTCTAGTCGTGAGAAATCGAATGGTAGTTGTTTCATACAAATTGGAGCGATATTAATTAAGATCATACATCTTTTATTTTTATTTGTTTTTTCTATATATAAAAATTATGTGATATAATGTCATTTTAACCAATTTGATTTTTGACCTCTAAAGTCAAAATGATTTTGGCCATTTTGATTATTTTGGATATCTGAAATGATCCATTTCAACTTCATGTATAAACATGATATATTTTAATATAAATTAATTTTGAAAAAAATTTATAATAAAAAAAATCTGCAAATTTTAAAAAATGATGTAAAAAATTGTGGTATAATTATAAGGGTTACTGAAAAATTGCAGTTTTAGGACAGATTTTACAAAATATCGCCACAGGAGACATCATATATATAGCATTAAATAGTGTTAAATATTATTAAATTTTAATTCACTAAATCACATGCATATTTTAAATGCGTTAACTAAAATAATACTAGAATAAATTTTAAAAAAATAATACTGTATTTTATTCTTTTTTTTTACATTTTGCATTATCCTTTTAATAATAATCTTGCATTTTCTTTCATTTCGCATTGTTCTACTTTCTCTTCTTTTTCATCTAATATAGATGATAGGTAAAAGATATTGTATTTATATAATTCAATATGAAAAAGCTTATCTTAAAATTTTATATAAATATAACTTTGGTTTTAACAATCTCAAAAATCAAAAAAAAAAATAAAATAAAGTATATTCATAACAAATCTATAAATAAATAAAATTATTACAACTTTAAAATGCCTTTCGTTAACAAATATTCTCGTACTAAACAATTTAGCATCAAACAAATAAATTTTTTAACAATTTATGATGAATATATCATGATTCTTGAATATATAAAATACAATATAAATCATATAGACAAATATGAATACAATCAACCATTTAACTTAATGGTTTAGTCCTCTTTGAGGACTAAAATGACTATACCAAAAATATAAAAATAAAATTTAATTTTTATGTTATTTAATTGAGTAGTGAGATCCAATTTATACCAAATATTGGCTGGAGACTCAAGATTACAAAATTTTATTTTTTTATTTTTATTTTTATTTTTATATTATTATATATATATATATATTTAATTAAGTAGCGAGATCCAGTAAGTATCAAATATTAGTTGAAGATTCAAATTTTCAAAATCATTTTTTTATTTTATTTTTTTTTATTTTTATATTTTTTATTTTATTTTTATTTTATTTTTATATTATTATATATATACAATATATTTAATTGAGTAACGAGATCCAGTATGTATCAAATATTAGTTGAAAATTCAAATTTTCAAAATCATTTTTTTATTTATTTTTTTTTATTTTTATATTTTTTTATATTTTTTTTATTTTATATATTTAATTGAATAGCAAGATCCAGTTTATATCAAATATCAGTTAGAAACTCAAGATTTTGAAAATCATTATTTTTTTTAAATTTATTTTATTTTTTTATTTTATATAATTAATTGAGTAACGAGATTCAGTTCATATTAAATATCAGCTGAGACTTAAAGTTACAAAAAATATATTTTTTTTATTTTATTTTTATTTTATATTTTTATATATACTGTATAACTATGATTAGAAAGTACAGTGTTAGTACAATGATTAATACAGTTAATACAGTTAGTATATTATAATAATTAATATAAAAATTAATATAAGTACAATGATAATTTTATCTAGTACATACAAATTTCCAACCCTGCGTATAGTATTGCCCATAGTATTCCTCTTTGAACGTATCCCAGTTTAAAGGACCTAGATACTTTATTAAGCATTAAAATTTTGACCTATGTTAAAACTCGGATATAATTCAATTTTAATCACACGTAATTTATACAAGACCCAGGTATATATACTATTTAATTATATTATAATAAATTTTTTTATTATATTTAATACTTTATTATATTGTATTTCAGTATTAATTATTAATCATATTGGCTGATTGGAAAGTGTTATACAGCAATTGAAAAAATTTTCATTCCTGAATTTTATTAATAGGTTCTCTGATATGTTGGTGAATTCGCTATTTGTCATTAATAAAATATAAATATTTATGAAAATTTTCAAAGACCAATCTGTTATACTGTTTAAAAACCCAAAATATTTTTATTGACAATTAATTAATAAGCATTATATAGTATAAAAAGTATTTATTAATTATTAATTGCAATTTATATTAATATAATTAAAACTTTAATTTTCATACTAAAAAATTTATTAATATCGCATTTTATTAGAAAAACTCTAAATTTGAAAATCTGCCACAAAAATTATTATACTGATTTATTCCCAATTTTGAATTATATTACGCTCTTCATTTTTTTATAATATTCTGATTCACTATTCTCTAATTCACAATTACTATCATTTTCTTTATCACTATCATTATCATCTTCTTCTTTAACTCCTCTTTCTGGATTATTTATATTTACAATTTTAGATAAATCAAAATTAAGTCATCTTCCGATCCATCAATAGCATTTGAAAAACCACAACATTTGAATGAACGTTTGATCATATTAGGATCAATAGCATCATTACTCTCTTTTACCCAATTTGTCACAAGTGAATAAGATGGTTTTTTAATTTTTCCAGTTAGAGTATACTCTTTGATAGCTTCATTTATCCAATCATTATAAAGATGTTGTACCTATTTATTCAAACAAGTTAATAAAGCATTAATCATTTAGATAATACTAGTACCATTAAAAATGAAATTACCTTAGCTTTAAAAGGCTTATTTAGTGATGCATCTAGTGGTTGCAAATGAGAGGTTAATCCGCCTGAAATAACAGCTAAATCAGTATTTTTTCTACGAAACTTATGTTTTACAATATCAGTTTTATGTGCAAAAAATGAATCCAATACTAAAAGAGATTGTGGATTATTTGTTTGACCTGCACGTCGTGACCAAACATTTTCTATTCACCAATCTATCTCATTCTCATTCATCCAACCTTTTGGATTAACACGAATAATTATCCCACCAGGGAACTCTTTTTACAGAATATTTACAAGTTTGAATATAATTACTGGTGGCAATTTCGTTTCATTAGCCATACAGCTTAAAACAACAGTAAAGTTTGCCCTTTCATGCGTAGTTGATAAAATTGAAACAATTTTAATATCACATTGTTCAACTGTAGTATTGCTTAGTAAATTAAATGATAGCGATGTCTCATCCATATTTGAAATTAATGATAATGGATATTGATGCTCTCTTTTACGAAAAAGGACATATAATAAAAAATTATTTTGTTGCTCAAGATAGTTATTTGAAAATCATTGAGTAACTGTAGTTTTTCTTCTATTAATCAAATTATGACGAGACATAAAGCCATCAACCCATTTTTGTGAAAACTTTGCTTCATTTATATTTGGATACATTACTTGATATGTTACTCTTTTAGCAAAAGAGTGTACCTTTGCTTGAATCATATAATGAGTAATTGACTTCGAGATTCTTTAAACCAATTCATAAGTTCAATTTCGAGTTCTGGATATTTTGGACATGAACCTGAAGTAAGCTTTTGAATATAAGAAGCCACTCTTATTAGTTATTCTTTATTATTTAGCTACTCACGAAGTTGCTTTATTTTAATTTAAAATTTATTTGCTATTGCACGTTTGCTATGACCTCATTCATAATATACAATTATCATTAACTTCTCTTTTGCTAACCACTAACGTTTCCATTTTTTTTGTAATTTTAGCATGACGAACTCGAATATTACCATGAACTATGTTTCTAAAATGAAATACTTATAATTTTTTTAATATAATATAAATTTATAAAATTTATAAAATCAGTTATTTAGAAAATATTTCAGAGAAACGTAATGAAAAAATAACAAACGCGAACAAATTCACACATATTATACTATTTTAAATTAATAAAGCCAATTGAAGCCTTTATTAGCTTTATATTGCTAAATTAATCAAATAAATGTATTGTATATTAATAAAAAGAATGCTTCTTACAATTATTAAATATAAATAGGCATATTTTGAACATATTAAAAGATTTTAATACATTTGATCAAACATGTTAAAGTAATTTTCTGAACATATTATATGTTAAAGCAATTTTTCGAACATATATTTTAAGATTTACCGTATGTTACTAAATTAGGATAATGAACTGTACAATATACCCCCCATAATATAATACCCTCCTTTTATAATATCCTACTACTTAAAATACCTGGTATCTCCTAAAGTACTTGCGGGTATTATATAATTTTTAAATTAGGTATTTTATATAAGACCAGGGTATTTTAAACAGTGTTATATGGTATATATTTTTTATATTTAATTGAGTAGCGAACGAGATCCAATTCATATTAAATATTAGCTAGAGATTTAAGTTTTTAAAATTCTTTTTTTATTTATTTTTATTTATATTTTTTTATATTTATTTATTTTATATAATCAATTGAGTAACAAGACCTAGTACATATCAAATATCAGTTAGAGACTCAAGTTTTTTAAAATAATTGTATATAATATGCATTATATAGTATTAATAAAATTATTACTTTTATATGAATATATTATTAAATTATGTATAAGTGAATCAGAATCACTGAATATTATAGTAAAATAAATATTTAGCCTGTATATTAAAGCATCATATATATTTAACTCTAAAATCAATAAGATTTAAAAATACAATATTTAAAGTATTTTATTGTATTGAATATAAAACAAATTGTGTAAGTTTGCAATAATATTTTTATTAATTTATGATATCAAATATTAAAAAACAAATTATGACCAACGTAATGCAATTAGTGATAGGTAGTGATATAAAAATTATATATATTTATAAATTGACATAATTAACTAATTTAGTAAAGAGTTACATTTTTTTGTTTGATATTTTAAAAAAGAATTTAAAGGCTAAATATAATCAGCAGTGATTTATATCATCACATTATTTTCAAAATTTAATAAACTTGAATCAATTTTAGTATTAAATATAATAAAATAATATTTATCGAAATTATTTAGATTTTTTGTAAATAAATTATATCATGATTATTTTTATATTAATTATCATTTTCATTATCTAGATTCTCCAAACCTTTTTTCTCCTCAATCCTTCACTAAAAATTAAATAAAAATTAATATTATTTTATGTAATATTACTTAAATCTTATAATACTTTGTAATACTTACCAAATATTTATTTACTAATTCCATAATTGATTCATCAATTATAATATATTCAATTACCAGATTTAATAAAGTATAACAAATGCTAATTACGAATATATAGGAGCATTACTATAGTTATTTCAAATCTTTCCTAAAATCTGAGATATATACAAGTCTTTTATATTATTATTTATAAGTTTGATAAATTTTCAAAGCATTTCTTTATAGAATGCAATGCTTTCCCACTGGTCAAAATGGGTACAAATCGGCTAAAAATCAGACAGACGATTGATGGATGATTAATGGCCAATTTAGGGCTGATTTACATTAATTCCAATTGACACAATATGAGTCAATCAGAAATATCAATCGGTCATTAATCGCTATCAATCGTCTATCTAAAATCTACCTAAAACAAGTCATCAATCATCCATCAATTGTCTGTCTGATTTTTAAACGAAAATTTATTTTGTAAAATACATTTATTTTATTTTACAATTTCGGAATATAATATTTTTTTATTAATTTTATTAATTTTATTCATTATGCGATAAGCAAATAGAAAATACTACTAAAAAATAAGCAAATTACTAAAAAAAAAAAGAAAAAATCATTGTCGTAATCAATAAATCGTCATTGTCATTGTCGTTATTCAATTACCTCTGATTTAAAACTAAAAAAAAACTAGCAAATAAGCAAAAAATAAAAATAAATTGTCCTATCCACCCTTCCATTTATAAAAAATAAAACAAAATGCGAAAAAAAAAGCAAAAAAAAACTTAAAATATCCCACCCGCCTTTCTATTTATAAATAAAAAAATAAAAATAAGCAAATGAAAAAAAATATTAAAAATCGTCATTGTCGAATCTATCATCTTGAGATAGTTATTGACGTTATTCATCCATCTCGAGTTGGTCAGAATCGTAGAGTTTATCACTACCAGTCGCTGATGTTTATCCCTTTTTGACTTTAACAAGTTCTTCATTATCCATAACATATTCTTCTTCACCTGATTTTTTGACGTTAGTATCGAAGAATATGTTCAGTTGTTCAATTCAAGATTATTCAAGGGCATTTGAAAGATGCAGTCGATCAAAATGCTGCACCTGGTCATCATATATTCAATTTTGTTGTGCTCTTACTGAAGTGACTGAGGTTGTAGCATTTTGGTCGAGTATACTACAAAGGAGATTTTTTAGCTGAAATAATAAAAAATGTTTAGTAATTTACTAAAATTTATAAATAAGATTTTTTTAAAAAAATAGTAAACCTCGACCGATCGCTACGAGAAATAGTATACAGCGATAACAGACTTTTATTCTGGGTCATCTTCGTCTGTCTCGCTTATTTCAGGAAAATGATATAGGCGATCGGCTAGCATTTTCAATAAAGACCACTTTTCGTATTTCGTAATTCGTACGTCATGATCTTTACTCGTCATAATTTTTCTAGAAATAATAAATTAAAAATTAAATAAACTTAATAGATCAAAATTCAGATTAAAATATACTAAATTCAATTCACTAAATTTGTGTACTTGACCATTTACATGTAATCATTATTGTTTCATAATGGCTTTTTCACTTTACTTGTATCGTCAAGTTAATCGTTGAGATTTATGAAGGCTTTGAAGCTAGGTTGTCAATTGGTCAATAGAAGGTCAAAAATTCAGAACTAAGACCTTTCATAATTCTAGGATTAGACTCAATTGCTTTTTGATATTTTTTTGCTATTAAAAGTTTCATTATAGTCTAAATCCCGTTTCAAATCGATGGTTTTTAAAACTGCTTTCATTTTAGCCTAAATATGAAAATCAGAAAAAAAATCAGTTTGTAATTTAAAATATCAACACAATCAATAAAATCAAATATACCCTAGTTTCTTTCACATTGGACTCTTCTACTGACAAATTATTGTTGTCCTCAGAGACGATTTTTATTGATTCATAATCCATCTCATCATCGGTACAACAGACTGGCTTCTTGCCTTTCGCTTTTTGTTATTTAGCAGAAAGCTCATCGCTGAAACTGTCTTTCGGCTGCCTCATCGATTTGGGCAGCTGAATTTTCACAAATTGATCGAGTCTGAAATATCAAAAAAAGAAGAGATAAGAAAATTATTAAAATAAGTATTCTCAAATAAAATTTTACATCTCTTGCAAATTATCATTTTTCCTGCTGAATTCGTTGTTAATTTCAGCAAGGAATCAATTTTCAGATTCTAGTCATTTATTTTCGCAGGAGAGATCAGAATTTTTTCATTCGAGTTGCTCAAGTGTTTTGCAAAAATTATTGAATTGCTTCTTCAGCTTTTGATTTTCTATATAAGAATATAAGAAATACATTGTTAATTATATATTTATTAATCGAAGAATAAGACAAATTGATACCAATTTGTAAATCATTATATTCGTCGATAGTTATCATTTCGACTAAAGCTGAAGGAATCGCTGTCGATTCACGTTAGAATTTTGATGGAAGGCGAATGACTCTGTATCATTTTTGCAATTCATCAATATTCACTTGATCTATAATTTGAAATTTAAATGAGTATCAAATATATATAATCAACTTACATTTTGAGACTTTTGGCTTCTCATCAGATTTACGTTTTGTTTGTTTCAATTATTGTGCTTGTTATACTTGTTACACTTATTTCTTTAGTTGTTTACTTGGTTATTTTCTTTTCATACTATTATAAAAAAGGTAAAAGTTGATTAATAAAGATTTGGTAAATACGAAAATTGAATTTATATAATTAACTAGGGAACGGTATCACCCTTGTGAAGTCTGGAGCTTAAGATCACGTGAATTAATTATGTCAATATTATTGAATATATCATTATGTCTAATAAAAATAAATACAATATATTTTAAGGAGAATTTATTAAATCTATGTT